AAAATAAAGTTGAGTGTAATGGCAAAACAAATATACTGTATAAGAAATAATTTATTTGCCATGAATTAAGTTTATGATATTTGAAGAAATGTGTGATCATGCCCCAGTCAGTGAAAGTGTGTTTCCTACCCCTAGACCCCAAAGGGTTAAAGGCCTGGGTGCATGACTCGTCCCATCGGTCCCCAAAGGGCTCACTGACTCTGAAATACGTTTTTACATTCTGAACCTTGGCAGTCTTCCTCCCTTTTTGGAATGGAGGATATCCTTTGGTCAATTCGGTAAGGGGTCGAACTATGATGGAGTAGTTCCTTATAAAGCGACGGTAGTAGCTGCAAAACCCCAGGAATGACTGTAAGGAGGTCAGATCAGTAGGCTGTTCCCAATGAGCTACTGCCTCAACCTTTGTAGGATCTGCAGCAATGCCTTGTTCTGACACAATTTGGCCAACATATGTCACCAGTGACCGGCAGAACTGGCATTTATCTATAGACAGTTTCAAACCGCTCTCCTCTAGTTGGTCCAGAACCTTAAAAAGATGTTCCTCATGCTGCTTTAATGTCTTTCCAAAAATCATCTAAATATGCAACAACCTCCAATAGGTTCATGTCCCCTTCTCCATAAGCCTTTGGAATGTTGCAGGAGCCGCTGTAACACCCTGCGGCATCCTCTTGAACTGGTAAAATACCAATGGGCAGATAAAAGCGGTCTTTTCTTTATCTTCTTCCGCCATTGGGATCTGATAGTACCCACTGCGTAAATCCAATACAGAAAACCACTTGCTCCCACTCAGACAATCAAGCGCATCATCAAAGCGCGGCACTGTATACTGATCAGGTATGGTGTGACGATTTAATGTGCGATAATCTATGCACATACATAACTGACCAGATTTTTTCCGAGCGATGACCATAGGGGATGCATAAGGGCTCCTTGATTCCTTTATGATGCCTGCCGCTAAGAGCCCCTGTAAATGACGACGCAAATCATCCAAATCAGCAGGTGCCAAACGGCGGGACCTCTCTCTGAACGCCTTATCATGTGCAAGTCTAATCTGGTGTTCCACACCCTTTGCCAAACCAACATCCCACTCTTTTAGTGAAAACACATTGAATCGTTCGGCTAACTTTGAAGAGAGTCTTTTCTTCTCCTCAGTAATGGGTGAGTCCCCAAAGTCAAAAAGAGTTGGATCAATCTTTACCTGTTTTTTGCGGTCATCGCATTGGACAATAGTCGCAGTATCTAATACGCTCAGATGGGCTATAATGGTGCCGGCCGGAATGGACACTTCTTTACATGACTCATTCCGCACCCCGACCAGAAAGTTGCCTTTGTCGAGTGCAGACGAACATAAGAACATAAGAACATAAGCTTATGGCTCCACTTAGGTCACAATACGAAAACAATACTGTGGGCTGGACAAGCACACCAGAGGGAAATGCAAGAGTTTGGGCACGCTCTGTAATAAGGATGCTCTTACCTAAAGGCTGGGTTTCATCCACCCTGCAAACTGCAATACTTTACCTCAGCCACTTTGTCCTTACTGTTTAGTGGATCACCCACTGCCTGTGTCGAGGGCATAGAGTGAGACATAACCGAGCACACTGTCAATGGGTGTGGGGGGCCAACGTTTAACTCACTCCGAGGCCTAGAGGTGAAAGGACGCACCCTATGCACATTAGTGCCCAACAGTACAGGAATGTTATCTGAGCAACGCGGATGGGGCAAACCAGAGCAAGGACAGCGACAGGGCCCTTACTCACTGCACCCTCTCCAGGAAACTCCAACTCCACCTGCACATATCCACGGTAGGGGTAACTGTTGTCAGAGTCACTCAGACCCCAAATCGCCAACCCACTTACAGTACAGGACACAGTGGAACGTGAGCTAAATGCTTACTGTACTAGCTGTCGAAAATAATTGTCACCTGAGATCCGCTATCAAGCAGAGCTGTGCAGGCTTTCCCCTCCACCTTCACTTGAGCAGTGGAGGGTGGCCCCACCAATCCTGGAGGCAAATGGCTACAATGAGTATTGACAAGTCCTCTTCGCACATGAGCATTAGGGGTTCTATCCCCAGATGGATAACCTGGCTCACGTCTCTTAGCCTTAACTGAGCGTTGCGCCTGAATAAACTTTTGAATCACTCTCTGTGGATCCTCCGTCCCACTACACCTTGCAGCCACATGCCCATCCTCCCCGCAACGATAACAGAAAAAGCCACTCCGTCGCTACCCTGGGGGTGAGCCCTTCTGGGGTAACGCTGCGGACAATGGTACACGTTCTGACTTTTCTACAGCTACAATTGCTGGTTTCACTGACATGACTCTGACCTGCTTCCTCAGTTTCCTCAACTCCTTCTTAAGAGCCTTTACGTCTTTGTCATCCTTGGCAGACTCACTGGAGTCATTTGCTGAAGTGATAGGCCCCTGGACCACTACAGGATGAGGTTGTGATAAGGCCGAACACCCAGCTACCTGAAACTTCAAAGCCTTCATGTCAGCTTGGAGCACCTGCATTTCACTCTCCGCCTGTGCCACTATGGCTTTGACCCTAGCAGGCTTTACTGTGGACTTCAGCTTATGACAGGCAGCCTCATATCCCTCTTCCATGCAGATTTCATTTAAAAGTTGTAAGAAATTAGGTGGGTGACCCTTTTGCTCCCTCAACCTCAAATTCACTATCATCATATCTGCGCCCACTGCACCTTTAATGAGCTGATCTAATGCTACGTTCACATCGCGAGCGTCAAAGACGCCAGCCGTCGCTCCCACCGCCCGGAACGCGATGCTAGCCAACGCCGGAGATGCTCTCTGACGTCATAGAGTGGGCGGGGACAAGGCCACTCAGAATGCCAGGCTCTGAGAACTTTTTAAAGTGGTCGCAAAACAAACAAACGTGTAGCTTATATCTTTGCGCCGACTCCTGATAGGACATAATTTGTCAAATAAATATTGTTGTGAGCCAGTTATTTGCATTCCCGCTTAAA